CCGAAACCCTTAAACCCTAAACCCCGAAACCCTAAACCCCTTGACGTCGCAACCCAGCCCCCCAAGGGTTTAGGGGTTTAGGGTTTCGGGATTTAGGGTTTAGGGGTTTAGGGGTTTAGGGTTTCGGGGTTTCGGGGTTTAGGGTTTCGGGGTTTAGGGTTAAGAAGACCAGGCTTCAGTCTGGTGGTGCTCGGACTTAGAGGTTGGCAACGTGTGAGGGTGGTTCTCTAAAGTAGGGTCCCTTTTAGGTGCCCAATATAGTGCAAAGGACCCTAAAAGGGACCCGAATTTAGAGAACTACCCATGAAGTTAAAGTGCACGGCCGTTTAGTGCTTAGGGCTCAGGGCTTACCTGTAACCGAAAAGACTCCATTATTTTGAGGAGTTATATATATATATATGAAAATATATGTATGTATATGTATATACATATAGAAGCCATAATAACACCCTAAACTGGTAGGTCTTTCCGGCTACAGTTACGGGATTTGGAGTGTAGGGATTTAGGGATAGGGTCTAGGGGTGTCGGGGGTCCTCTCTGCAGCACTTTGGCAATGTAACATGCCGGCCTAAGAAATGTCGAGTTCCTTAGGTTTTATGGTAAGATGTACGTACCCCGGTGACCTTTAGCTTTTGCGGATTAATTTCCCTGCAATACATTGAATAACCTAAACCCTAAACCTTTGAAGCCCTACCTGTCTTTCTTTCTCATGCGCTACCGACCGGCTCATAGACGCTTGCACAGCGCCCGCGTGCATTGTCCAGGAGGCTTGAGCCCTGAGCCCTGCGAAGAAGCTTCAGCAATCTATGGTTCTTACTTCCCCGATAAGTATAAGGTTTAGAGAATAGGCACTTTTCTTTCGCATTGGTGACCCCCCTTTAAGCATGAGCAATCAGAACTTGCCAATCCTTTGTTTACAGGTGGCATTTGGGAACTATAGTTCGACACCCGCGAGTTTGTGATCTTTCGGGGCTGAAGGACCTGTAAGGCTTGATATGCTGAGACTTGCCCCCTTAGGGCTTTTTAGGGCTTGGAATGTTCATCTAACTTGGGCTTTAGCCGGCTGTTTAAGGTTCAGGGCATCTTTTCTACCGAGAGCAAAGATGACGAATTTCACTACACTGGTGAACCTTCTACCCTAAGTACCTAAACCCCTAGCTCCCAACACCCAACCTGTTAACTTCTTGGGTTCTTATAATTTTGAAGTAACCCCTGGCTTATTGGGGAAGTAAACCCTAAGTCCCCAAACCCTAAACAGCACATGGTACTACTTGGGAGCCCAACAAACCTACAACAAATCGCAGCATGCTTGGACACCATAGAAAGCCGTGCTACACCTTAAAACACCCTAGAAACCTCTGCAAAAATCACAGGAACCACTAACACTGTAAAATCCGCAGGATGCGCCCTATGAACACCTATGAGGATCCACTACACAATCTTTTTGAACAACCAGTCAAACCACTAGACAGCTCTATCACAGCACCTCTTCAACATCTATAAGCTACTATCTCCGCACACAGGGCTCCCGGGTGCAGATGCTCACTTTTCCGCGCTTGGACGGTCCTTAGCTGTTTCTGTGGTCAGGGATTCGTTGAGGCTGTTGTGAGGAAGCCAAGTTGCTATTGGGCGCTTGCCGTCCTCTGCTCCCTGGCAAAAGCACAAAGGCCCGAGGGCAATACACCTGAATGGACGAAGTCATCGCACCGTTGTATTTTTTTGCATCCGGCCGCATCCTGGCAAAAGCAAAAGCATGCACCCTCTGGAATCGATCAGAACCCTAAGGAATAATATTACTAGACATTCAAACCCCACCTATACCCTAATGAACCTAACCCAAAAACCGCAAACTCCCGAAACCCCTTTATCATACCCTGCTTTAGGGGTTTAGGGGAGTTTTTTCAGGTTTAGGGCTCTTTCTTATTCAGACAACTTTGGGGGTTGGGGTTCAGGACTCAAACAATTCAAACACGGGTATATGCGTTCATATCTGCTGAGCCAAATGAACCCTAGGGGACCCTCTCCCATTTGTATAGATATATATATATATACACACATACATATACACACATACATACATACATACATACATACATACATACATACATACACATACACGAAAAATACATGATCATACATGCATACATACATGCATGCATCCTTGGAGACATACGTACATACATTCAGATGCATGCATACAGGCGTAGGTACTCATGGCCACTCCAGCTACTTGCTGACTAAGTCCCATGAATCTTTAAGTGAACCTGCCCTCTCGTCTGCAAGTTGCGCCTCGGGCATTGCGGCGTCAGCAGTGACGAGCAACCCCTGCAGGTTTGGTAGATTTGTTCGGGCTCGGAACCTTAGGGCTCTTCTCGGCAAAACCAACTATCCTAAGAAATCGTATCAAGGTGGCCTGACATTTCCGTTATGGTACGCACCCTCAAGATTGAACAAAACAAAAACCTAAGTGCAGGGTTTGGGGTTGTCGGCTTTTTCGGAGCTGGTCGAGCTGCCGTCTGCAGTTCCACTTGGTGGTTACCTTGTGCTTGGAGCAGGATCCTACATCGTAAACTGGGTCGACCTGAGAGAGGAATTCCTGGCCTGGAGCGATGGGTTTAGGGCCTTAGGGTTTAGGGTTTGGGGTTTAGGGTTTTCGGGATCCTAGACCCTAGCCCTAAACCCTATAGGCTATACCTGCACTAGGAGGTCCGACGCGGCTCAGCCGCATGAACTGTTGGGGGCTGGCTGACTCCACTAGACGTAGAAGTTGAGGGATCCAAGGTTTCAAGGTGGTTCTGCTGTTTGAGGGTTTAGGGCTCCAGTGCAGGGTTTAGGGGTCTCGAAGTTTGGTTTAGAGCTTCAGTGTCCAATGAAGGCCCCAACTGCCACAAGCCTCACATTAATCGGAAGCTTCGGAGTTACAGCGCAAATAAACTACTGTAGAAACCTCAATAGTTCGAATAGGGCTTGGGCGGCTTGGATAAGGAGTCCACAAAATAGTTTTGGTAATTATTTAGGCTCCTGAAGCATTCATGGGTCGTCTGCCACCGCAAATACCCTCAACTGAGGAACACACATCGAATCATATCAGGGATCTCTCCATATTTTCAGCTGTATTCCTTAATCAGCAGGTTTTGCGGCTTCTGGATTTAGCTTACTTGGCGCCTTGATCCTTTTCTACGTTACCAAGTCCGCCACTTCAGCAAACCCTAAACCCGTCAGCCCAACCTAACCTCCTGAGCCCAAGAAACCCTGAGGCCCCAAATCACCCAAAGAAAACCGAAGGAACCCCTAAAGACCTAAAACCTAAGCCCTACACCGTATAAGCCCTACATAAACCCCAAGTCTGAAATCCTAAAGCCTTAAAGCCCTAAACCCACAAACCCCCCTATGTAAAACCCTTGAACCCTAAGACCAGAACCCTAAAGTAAAGCCACAAGCCCTAAGCCGAAAACCCGACAACCCTAAAGCCTATAGAGCCTAAGTCCACAAAAAGGGTTGCAGCGTGTTTCTACCGGGGGATTTTCGGGTTTAGGGTTTAGGGTTTATGCTGCAGGGTTCTTTTTGCACGTTCTGTTTTTCTGGAGCCGAGATCGCAGAGAGAAGAACCTTGGAACTCTGATCTGGGTTTGGGGCATGGGTTCCGGGTAGGGTTCCAGGGTTTACGTTATTCCTGGGCTCACGGAAGGGCACTTCAGGCTAGAACATCTGTCTCTGCTGGCTCCTCATGATATAGGTAGTAGACGAACTGCGAATTGCTGGACTATCGGTCCCTCTAAATTCAGGCTGCTCACGGAAAGGCGTTGAGTTGGCAATCCTTCAAGATAGCCTCTGCTTCTTTCGGGTTTAGGGTTTTAAGGGGTCTATAAGGGTTCAGGGCTTGGTGCTTAATGCTTAGGGCTGAGGGTTTCCGAGTTTTGATGTTTCAGAGTTCAGGGTCAACCCTTAATCGGGTACGTGACGAAACGCTGAAACCCTCGTTCCTCCAACCTGGCCCGTGCCTCTTCACTTACGTAAAGACTGCAAGCAACCCAAAGTAGGTCCTTCTGATATAGACCTTGAATACCTGGACCCCAAGCAACCTGCCGTTTTCAGGACTCTTATAATATGAGGGGATCATAGTAAGGAGCCCTAGAAAGGCAACCTGAACCCTGGTTAAGGGTTAAGGCACCAATCGATTTATTGTGGGGCTGCATGGAGGACTAAGCCTATAAGGACATCAACCGTTGGACGCTAAACTCTAGCCTGTGCCCTGATACCCGTTTACTAAACGACTTTCAGCCATTCAAGAAGCAGAAATGCCAGCGGCCAAGGCATGGATCCGGTGATAGGCCGCCTTGAAGCCTGCTTCAGCTTGCTAACAAGCGACGTTACCTGGTGCAACAAGGCTTTCCTCGGCTCATCATCACTTTCCCACTCCTCACGTGGGGTGCTCCAGTGCTTTCAACTCCGTGGCATGTGGCAAAGCTGCAAGCCTCGCGCCTTGCGGCCTGGAAAAGTGGCAGCTTTGCTCGCAACCTGTCCAGCCTGAGCAAGAAAGTGGCGTCAGGCGCACGAGGGCGCTGCAAAGCCGAGCCTCATTGCTGGAGAGTCCCATTCGCACTGGCCCGGGCCGCAGCGCGGAAGGCCCAGGCGTCAGCTAAACCCCAACTCCCTCCCCAAATGCAAGGAAATCCAGGGCCGCCTTCGGCTCAAGGAAGCCTGTGGCCACGGTGGAGACAAGGCCCGCGGCGAGATCGAGGACCCGAACCTGAGTTTAGATCTGGACCTGACCTTTGCCTTTTTCTGTAACGGATGTTTAGGGACAATCCGGACATCTGCAGAAGGCTTTACGATGATTTTTGAAAGGCTTGCGACAAGGGGGCAGACGGTCTTTCAAGGTTTATATGGAGATTTGAATGAAGGAGTGCACAGGATTTGTTTCTGGATGTACATATCCAAGGCTTTATAAGGTCATTGACGGGTGTAGACTCCAACAACCCTAGAACCCTCTACAGTGATACGGAGTTGTACACTGGTAGGTCCAACTAAACCCAACAGCCAACATCTGAGGCTTGTCGGTGAGCCTCCATTTTGAAACGCATCCGATCTATAGCTGCCACCACCACCACCACCACCACCAAACCACCACCAAACCACCACCACCACCACCACCACCACTACTACCACAAAT